AAAAAACCCCCCCCCCCCCCCCGCTGCTCCCACACACCCAGCTCCCACCTCCTCCAGGAAGCCCCCAAGGGGGAAGCCACGCACCCAGAACCCAGACCCACCAGAATCCAGGATGAGACCAGATGAAAACCAGTTCTTTGTCCGGAGCCTGAGGCCCCGCTTTGCTTCTCCCGCACAGGCCCCCTTGGCTGGGGAAACCACCTCCCACAGTCACGGGGGTTTGTGAAATAGGCATCAGTGGAAAACTAACCTAACATCTTTGCGACTCCCTTTCCTCCAAGCCCTGTGCTGGCGTTTCACCGGTCTGTCCGTGCACGGAACCACGAGCCATGTCCTCCTATTCCCATTGTACAGAAGGGAAAACGGAGGCTCACCGAGGTCAAATAACTTGCCAAGACCACACAGGTGGATCTAAGGTTCCAACTTAAATCAGCCTGACTTTCCAGAACCCACTTATCCAAACTTGCACAACAAGATCTGGGCCGGGCCAGAGAAAGAGAATGAGTGCGCCAAACGGGCTGCTCTAAGGGGGCCCATCTCTGCCTTTAAGCTTTGCACATGCTGTTCCCTCTCTGACTCCTCAGCCTGCAGGCTCAGCTGAATCGTCTCCTCCGACTCCAATTCTTAATCATGCCCGGAAGATAAGTTCAAGCAGGTGCTGCCTTTTCTTGGAGGCCTCACATGTGCTTCCTCACAGTTTTCCTATTTACTGTGGGGTTTTTTTTGACGATGCTTCTCTTTGTTCCTTAGGCTCCAGGTTCTGTGCTCACTGCTCACTGCTCCGTAGGTGCTCACCCAATACTTGTTGAATGAATGAACGAACGAACAAACAAACAAGGGAAGGAAGAGAGGACTTTGCCGGGACTGGGGCCACAAGGCTCAATTGGGAGCCCCTCCTTGCAGGGTGAAGACCCCAACCTTCCCTGGCATAGGATCACTTAGACGCCCTGACCTCCAGACCACACCTGCTGATATGCCAGCTGGAAGCAGGGGTCTTATGTGTCCCTGGTATCGCTTGTCTTTTCTCCCAGGGGAGAAACGGGGTCAGCTTTCTAAGCCGGTGGACAGAGCAGCCGGCTCTCACCAGCACAGGATTCACGGAGAAAGGAGTTGGGGCCGCTAAGTCAGGAGTGAAAACTGGCACCGAAATAAAACCGAAGTCCCGACTTCTCCCCTCCCCAGGGCACCGAGGGCTCCCGGGCATCCTGTTACTGAGCTGAATATTTCATCTGGCCCCTTTCTCCATGCAGCGCAGACAAAAGGAACATGACGGGCAGACTTGGGTTCAAGTCCTAGCACAGCTGCCTATGAAGTGCGTCTTCGGGAAGTTACTGCTCTTCGCTACATCTCAGGTTTCTCACCTGCCAACTGGGGAGACTAATCCTCCCTCCCTCCCTCCTAGGATTATGGTGAGGATGGTAAGGATAATGTATGTACAGTGTTGAGCATCGTGCCTGGCATCGAAGTGCATGAGACATGGGATCTAGTGCTGTGGAAAGATTTGGTTTAAGTTGCTAATTAGCGAGTCCCTCTAGAGCAGTGGTTCTCAACCTTCCTAATGCCGCGACCCTTTAATACAGTTCCTCATGTTGTGGTGACCCCCAATTTCATTGTTACAAATTGAACATAATTAAAGCATAGTGATTAATCACAAAAAACAGTATGTAATTATATATGTGTTTTCCGATGGTCTTAGGCGACCCCTGTGAAAGGGTCGTTTGACCCCCAAAGGGGTCGCGACCCACAGGTTGAGAACTGCTGCTCTTCTAGACCCTCCAAAATACGATTCAGCTCGGGGTGGCCTTGGGGTCTAGAAGAAACACAGGCTCAGGGATCTTGGCAACAGGACACAATAGATTTGTTTGCCTCCAAGGAAGATGTGTGCAAGGGTGGGGTCAGCCTCCAGCTGCTTAAAAATGAAGATTCCTCCAGAGGAGGTTACTGGCCCCAGGCATGTGTCCTCCTGCCTGACACCCCGTTCCCTCACCGCCCCCGCTTCACAGTGGCCGAGACAGGGGACTATCATAATGAACCCCCGCTTATGGCACTTTCGTGTGCTGGCTACTTTCTAAGTGTGTGTGTGTGTGTGTGTGTGTGTGTGTGTGTGTGTTTCCATGTCACCATTTCATCCTCAGACCCTATTATTTCATCTCCACTTTGCAGATGAGGAACCTGAGAGTGAAGGGAGTAATTGATGGAGCTGGAATTCGCACCGAGGCCTCTGTCTCTGAGACGACTCAATCACTCCACTCTCCCACCCATCTCTCAGGGCACTGAGGGAAGATGGCGTGAAAACTGGTTGCCAAAGGGAGGGGCGTTGGGGGGCTGGGTGAAAAGGTGAAGGGATTAAGAAATACAAATGGGTAGTTACAAAACAGTCCCGGGGATGTAAAGTTCAGCATAGGGAATAGACTCCATAATATTGTAATAACTTTGTATGGTGCCAGGGGGGGACTGAAAATATGGGCAAATTCTTTGTAAAGTATAGGACTGTCTAGGCACTATGCTGTACACTTGAAACTAATACAAAATAATATTGAGTGTAAACTGTAACTGAAAAATAAAATTTAAGTTAAAAAATGGCATAAGATTGCAAAACCCCTGAGTCATAGACTCTTAGAATCAGACACCGAGCCCTCAAAAGTCTAGGGCAGCGGTTCTCAACCTGTGGGTCGCGATCCCTTTGGGGGTCGAACGACCCTTTCACAGGGGTCGCCTAAGACCATTAGAAAACACATATATAATTACATATTTTTTTGTGATTAATCACTATGCTTTAATTATGTTCAATTTGTAACAATGAAATTGAGGGTCACCACAACATAAGGAACTGTATTAAAGGGTCACAGCATTAGGAAGGTTGAGAACCACTGGTCTAGAGCCATACAACCGAAGCAGTGCTCGGGTGGCTTTGAGCTCCTTGCCACACTACCCATGGCAGAAACCCTCTCCGGGGCTCTGACAGACGGAATGTGGCACTGCTGCTTGATTGCTTCAGGTAACGGGGATCTCATCACCTCACAAGGCAGCCCTGATTGTCGGTCAGGATCCTGGAACTTCAAGGGGGCCTTAGTGACGGTTTCGTTAAATTCCTTTATTTATAGATGGAAACTTAAGTCTCAGGAAAGGAAAATGATTTGTTAAAGGTGCTGCCGCTGATCAGAGGCAGGAACCCAGGGGAACCTAGACCTGTGGCTCCCAGTCCTGTGCTCTCGTTTCTGCCGACCTTTATATGGGACTCGGGACATCTCCCTATCGGCCTGGTCCTACCCTGGGGGCCTCTCAGAGCAGAGCAGCCATGTCCTCCAAGTCTCCTCTTCTCCAGGCCAAATGTCCCATCATTCCTGTCTCCATTTTTTTTGTTTTGTTTTGTTACCCTTTGTTCAGTCTTTAAAAAAAAAAAAAAAAAAGCATTTCTTGTTCTGCCCTCTGCAGAGAAAGCTCTCAGGCTGGGAGCTCACAGTCTGAGGGGGACCCCGCCCTGCCCAGGGGGGAGCCCAGAGTCTGATAGGGGAGTCAGCATGTGGAGGATGTCTGCCTGGGCCCCTCACTCTGGGTTTGTCTGTTCCCCTCTTCCCAGCCCCCTCCCTCCCTGGACCTTGAGTGACACCTGTTCCTGGGTCCCCTGGGCCAATAAAAGCACTGCCCTGACAGCCAGGGGATTTTACAAGCAGCGGCCAGGCTTCAAGGTGGTGGGAAGCAGCCGTGGCCCCCAGACGTGGGAATGAGAAAGCACCGAGGAATGTGCCCCGAGAACAGCTGCAGGAGGATCAGAGGGGAGGGAGGCCGCGGGGCAGGCTCGGGTATCACCCCGAGAGGAGGGGAGGCGATGAGATGAGCTGGCTGCTGCCGCCTGCCCTGCCCCTTGGGTCTCTCTCAAAGGCAGCCAAGCCCCCCCGCCCCCCCACACACACTGCAGGAGTGGGGGTGGGGGGGTAGGGGGAGGTACATTGGTTCCTGGAGTGGTTAAATGCCACTTTGCTTCTAGAACTTTCCCTATTGCTTTCAGATTCCAGCTCTGACTCCGTTTCTACTTCCTGGATGGTTAGAACCTGGTCTCTGGGGGTCTCCAGGCCCAGCTCAGCCCCAATCCAGCCCTGTGCCTCTGGGCATGCCACTTCTCCCAGCCTCAGCTCCTGTACCCACAGCTTGGGGGTGACCATGCCAACCCTGACAAGGGGGTCTGAGGTTCCACCAGGTCATGCACCAGAAGCCCAAGCCCTGTGACTGCCACAAGGTGGGTGCCCAACTAAGGCTGGTTAGCCTCGGATGGAAGTGCCCCCAGGGAGCAGTTTGGGGTGATCCCTCTGCCGAACTGTGCCCCCCATTCAGGGAGAAGACAGGCCAGGAATGGGTTCCCACAGGAGCTGTCCATCATGACCTCCTCCTCCACCACCCAGCCTGAGCCCTCCCCGGCGGGTGGACACTCGCTGCACTCAGCGGCAAGCCCGACCCCGCTACAGGCCTGCACCCCAGCAGGCTCTGCTCTTTCTGCACTCCGCCTCCTCCACCCCTGCTGGCTAGGGACCTGACACTCGAGGGTGTGAAGGGGGTTAGCCACCCTCTTCTGATGTTTCTAACCCACCAGGAACCCACCATGCCTGCCCAGTCTGCTTGCATGCTTCCCATAACGGGAAACTCATTACCCATCTTAGGAAGCTAGGCCTGTTCAGAAATTTTCCTCCAAACTACTTTCTCCCCTCATCAGAGATTTGGAGATTTTTGTTCTCTCTGAGCCCTCTCTTCTAGTTGAGCTACTGCCCTTCCTTCTTCTCTTCCTTCCTTCTTCCTCCCTCCCTCCTTTCCACCCTTTCTTTAAAAAAAAATATTTTATTGATTTTTTTACAGAGAGGAGGGAGAAGGATAGAGTTAGAAACATCCATGAGAGAGAAACATCGATCAGCTGCCTCCTGCACACCCCCTCCTGGGGATGTGCCCGCAACCAAGGTACATGCCCTTGACCGGAATCGAACCTGGGACCCTTCAGTCCGCAGGCGGACGCTCTATCCACTGAGCCAAACCAGTTAGGGCCCTCTCTTTCTTCTTTTCTCTCTCCTTCCCTTTTCCTTTCTCCCTCCCTTGAGCTCTTCTCTTCCTCTGCCTCTCTCCCTCCATCCCTCCGCTCATCTTTTCTTTAAAGTACTTGTTGCCTGGAGAGATGTCAGCAGGCCTCGCCGCAGCTTCCGGCTTCCCCCTCCATCAGTCAGTCAGTCAACCAACGCTTGCTGCCCACTTCCTCTGCATCAATTGCTGGTGGCATTATTGGTCTACACGGTCCTCAGACCACTTGCTGCAGAACTCCCCGGGGGCCCAGTGAGCCCTCAGACCCTGGCCACCCCACTTCCTTAATTCCAGCCTCTGGGTTAGGGCCGCAGTGCCAACCCGAGACGCCTCCTCACCTGGACGCGCGCCTCAGTCAGCTTGGTCCTCTGTGCCAGCTCCTCGCGGGTGTAGATGTCTGGGTAGTGCGTCCTCTCGAAGGCCTTCTCCAGCTCTTCCAGCTGCTCCGCCGTGAACGTGGTCCGACTGCGGCGCTGCTTGCGCTTCAGAGGGAGGTCCGGTTCCGACTCCACGTCTGAGCCCTCGTCCAGCCGGTTCCCTACGGCCAGGCGAGAGGGAGGGAGAGGGCGGCCTGGTGAGATGGAGGGGTGCGCTGGGCCCCCCTTCCAGCCCATCTCTACACCGAGGGAGCATCCCCCTGGAGCACCGGGCACTGTTTATCAGAAGGAAGAGCGGGAAGCGACCCCATGCCCAGCCCTGGGGGCCTGGCTCAACACTTTATGGCACAGTCATTCCTTAAAGACGAGACCCCCCTGCAGTCGGGCATTTAGGTTATTTCCACGGACAGGAAGGATGTGGTGACATAGGAGGCAGGGGGTGGTTTCATGATGAAGAACATGTGTCAACATTTCTAGAACCACATTCCCCGAAAAGGAGATAACTTTATGGCATATTAACGACCCCTGAATAATCCTGACGTTAAGAAAAAGGGCAGGTACAAGGTGACACGTTATGGAACACTACAGTCCAAGATCAGCAGATGTTAACCTCCGGGTGGTGGAACTTTTGCTTTTCTTCTTTATACTTGTTTATAGTTTAGTATTTTTAAAATGACCATTTAAACAATGACGTTATTGCATTTGGGGGAAAGATTGCAAAAATGAGGAAAGGAG